AAGAGAGGGGAGTTCAGCGTTGTGGGACCAAGAGTTAGAGGAAGAACCAAAAAAGGGGTGAAGACCACACACGAGTGAAGCTTCTGGAGGTGTCTTTGCAAGATGAGAGCTGGATTTGATTTGTCATAAAGTCTTTCAGTGATTATGCTCCTCATATGGCTCAGGCACTTGGAATCTGGCCAACCAGCTGAACATCTGTTTGCAGAAAAGTGGTGAAATATTCAAAGTACTATTGTTAATTGTGTTTCCACTCCACCCATTTCATTTTCTTTCCAGACTGGAAGCTTAGAAACTTTCCTGGTTCTTTCTTTAAAAAAAAAAAAAAAGACCAGCAGGGTAAAAATATGAAATTCACTGAGTCTTTGGAAATGCAAGAAATTATTTTTATGAAATACTCTATCTAATTAATAATATTGCTAAACTAAACTCTAATGTCTAGTTGATAGCTGACTTAATACAAATACAAAACAATAAAGACTGTGTAGGGAAATTCACTTTAAAGTTTATTAATGCTATTTTCCTCAATTCATACATCTACTTGCTAAGTCTTTTATTCTCAGTGATAGAGCCAATTTAGACCAAATAACCTGTGCTGTGAGACTGAGCCTCTTTCTTTAAAATGAAGTTTACTCCATAGGAATTTACAGGGGAAAATAGTCTTTAAACTTTAAAATGCTGTAGAGTTATATCTTTATTGATGATCATGTCATCTTTCTCTCTCCAAAAATCCTATACATTTTAACTTAGCTGTAAACACAGTGTGTACCTATGGCTAGTGTTTTTACTTTCCTCACCTAACATATCACACATGTATTTCCATAGTGGAATACATAATATAATTTTAAAGCTCACAGACAGTTCAACATATTGATGTATTTAGTGAATATTTTAATACTTCTCTGTTCTGAAGCTAATATCCTAACATCTGCCAACTGGAAGTAATTTTTAACTTAGTTAAATATGTATGTACTTGTTTCCCAGGACACTCAAGCCTGAAAGATGCAGGATACTGTGTTTACACTTTGCTTTAAGAATAGCTGTTGGCTCTGGGCCCCACCACTCTCCCTCTGGATCCCAAGCCCCAAGTCCCTCCCTTGTGACAGCACAGCCTGTTTGGAGCTGTACAAGAATATGTACACATATTCTTGGAGTGCCATTGTCATTTCCCTCTTTGCCCTCATAGGGTTCCCTGCCACACATCCAGCACATTTTTGTATCTTCCTATTGCCCCTTCATTGCCTTTCCAAATATCTGAGTGTTGTATTTCTTTCTTTGTTGTGGTCCTGGCTGCACTTACACATGGAAAGTAATTGTCCTGAAGAGGAAGAAGAGATCCCTTTCCACCCTGGATAAAATTATTTTGTTGGTCCTCAGCACAGGACAGACTTTTATCCAGTCACTTATTCATTCAACTAATGGTAATGGGTACTTTCTAGGGCTTTGGTCCCATGCATGGCACTGGGGATATTCTGGTGGCTGTGCAGATGTAGTCTCTGCCTCACAGACTAATGGTCTTGTAATTGCCTTCCATTCACATTAGTAGGGTTGTTTTCCTTGTCTGCCTTGTTTTTTCAGCTTAGTATTACCCCACCAACCCATCCTCCCTGAACATGGTATACTTCTCTGGAAATGATTCTACCCACATCACTGAGATGTGATCAGTAAGTAACTCTAGGACCACAAAGTACATTTTCTTCTCTACCAAATGAAATCTCTCCTCACCTAACATACTCACTGAGAGGTTAAGCATGTCTCCAGCATTTCCTTGGAGCCTTATGTTTGAAGATACCAAAGCACTGTGTCCGTTGCTGTTTCACCCATAGACTAACAAGTGTCTATGGATGGAGATGCACAGAATAAGACCCATTTTTGGAATTTCATTACCCATATGTAAATCTCTGTACTTAAAAATGTATATAGGGTAACTCAATTTCAATATAAGTAATGTAGACCCATGTATTTCATAGGTTAATGTACATGCAATATGCTAAAATGGCTACGAAAGAGTGTTATGGAAATTAAAAGGCATTCATTCATATTCAGAACTTCAGAGGCCAGTGTCCCAGTATCCCAGTGGCCACTATCTATTACTTAAGCAATCTAAGTTATATTTTGATTGCTCAGTGAGGAGGTAGAGCATATAGGGAGGAAGGCTAACGGGGAAATCAACCATTGAAAACCATTGAAAATTTAAAGAAGCTGCCAAAATAAAGTAAGCTATGTAGTGCCAGAGGTAGGACATGAACCCAACTGATTCTGATTCTAAATCCTAGATTCAGCCTCCTCTGTACGCTGCTCATGTTTGCAAATAATTGTGTAAAGAACATATTTTCCCTTATAGAAGTCATAGAAGTTTATACCAAAGCTTATATTTTCCTCACTGTTCTCTCCCACCCACTTCACATTTGACACAGAAACACACACATTTGCAAAATCATAGTTGTAACGGAGTAGAGACTTCAAACCTTTTGTTATAGTTACATGTTGTTACATACTTCTGTACATTTATTTTTTACATATCTTTTATTAAGTCCTGTGGCATTCCTATCTAATCTAGCAGGCTTTTCTACAATGATGACTTCTGAGAGAATCGACTACATTTTTAAAGTGAATTTAATTTTTTATGTTGAAGAAATGATTTAATCATGAACAGTATTTAATACTTATTGTACAGCTATGCTTGGAATTTCATAGTAGTAGCTAACATACATTCATCCCTTTGGTTTTTAGCTTATTTCACAAACTGCTAAGAATGGTGCCACTTGGTTCGTAGCACATCAAACTGCCTTCCACCAGCAAGAAAACTCTGCCACTGACTATGGTGATATGTGGATGCATGGATAAACACCATGAGGGTTGTGGTAATGGCAGAGAGAAAAGAAATGTATTGCTCAAAGTGAAAGGGCAAGAGAAAAAAGAGGATTTTAGTGTTAGTAGAAGAACTGAATGAAATAAATTGAATTCTGGTGAGAGAGGTGTTGTGCTCTCTTTAACCACACCCCATCTCATCTCCTACCTTCTGTCTCCACATGATTGATGGGTTCGAACAAGCACCTGGAATCAACTGTGGCGAATAGCAGGGCCTCACCATTGGTAGATAAAGAAATGATTTACATGGTAAAGAAACCAATATTACTGGCTGTCAGAGAACCCATGAAGCAGTGAAAAATCCCCAGTTCAACAGGGAATTAAGCCAAGATCAGCAAGCTATGGGCTGTAGTAGTGATGTGGGGACCCCTCCATCAGCACCTTTAGAAGAATCCCTGCTTGACTAGGACTCTGCCGTGGATTGGTATGGGTCTCAAAATGGAGCTGAGTTTCCAGAGATTGCCGTGTAGGGATGGGTCTTCAAGTCCAAGACTAACATTATTGTGAGTCACATACATCATATTTCTAGAAAGATTAAACTTTCATTTAGATTGTAGTGGATAATATTTAGTTAGATTGGATCTCCTCCCAGCTACACAATCACCTGCAAACCCAGACACAAGAAGATCAGATGAAAACAAGGCTTTATTTTACATTTATCCCATAGGTTCAAAGGCATATCTCCTGAACTGTGATACAAGGAAATGGACAACACACATATTAAAAGAATATTCTTCAGAGATTGTGTAAATGAGTTCCATTTATTTGAAATGATAGAAAATGAAACCATCCAAAATATCAGGACTCTCATTCTCTGAAGCATAAAGTGCCACAGCTTAATAGGAAAGTTACAAATGAGCTGTAAGAAAGAAAAGAGGAAAATCTTCCGACACACAGAGCAAGTCTTTTCTTTATTGTTACCCTGATAAAATTATCATCTACCAAGAAAAATTACCATCATCACAAATTCTGATCATTCATATTATAACCAGTGATGAGAAAGCAATGGCTAAGGACAAAGTTAAAAGATTTGCCTCAAATTATTACCACCACCATGGCATTCTGATATACAAATAAGAAATAACAATTACTTGGCAATCATTTACGAATTCAAAATTGTACCAAATAGTACATCTTCTTAATACACTAAAGAAACATAGTAAGTGCCTATATGTATTATATATGTCAGCCTGTATCTCTTCTTTGCCTATTATATTGTGATGTATCCAGAATATCTGCATGGTAACTTCTGAACACATATCTGTGTAACTGAATATTTCCCATTCATCTCACATGCTTATTTTTTGTATGTGGTCTCACTGTCACGTAACTGCATTTATAACACATGTATACACACACAAGTTTACAAAGGATTTCAAGTAATTTAGGAAAAAGGGATAGAGTTTAACACAGGTCAGTCACAATAAAGAAATGTGACTGAAAGTATTAGGGAAAGAGAACTGCACCCAGAAGGAGAACATATTTTAAATATTCTGATAGATCAGCAGCCAGGGCAGCAGGAAAAACATGTTGCATCATACATAGTCCTCATTTGATAAAAAAAAGAAGTAAAAGACAAATTTGTCCTCATCCTTCATTGACACAGGTGTTCATTCTGTTGTATCTTAAAGACGTTGACAACTGTGATTAAGAAGACTCCTACCATCCTGATGAAAAGATCTTAATACAAAATGTACAGAAACGTGTCTATGTCATTTATAGCTTCTCCTAAAAGCTGAGGAACTGAGCTGGCAACATACATGTCTTGACTACCTGCCTGGAGGGAACTTGTAAGAAACTGCTCTGAGAGGCCAAGCAGGGGGGACCTAGTTACCTAGGGAATGGGCTAAGATCTTTCTGTTCCCATGTTCTTTCAAGTAGTTTTCCTCTCCTGCCATCCAGTCACATCCTCTTCTCTTCCACACATTGGAACCTATGCCCAGGGTGGATTTGATTCACAAGTCCATTTTTTGGGGTTTTGTGGTATTTGCATTTTAAGATCTGCCTCCAGTGTGAAACGAGAGTATTTTGCCTTTGTTGTCCAGTCTTGGAGGAAGAGGAGGAAATTCTGGAACTGGGATGAGAGGCGTTCCTGGGGATGCTTGTTCACCATCTTTTCTTTCCACCCCAAGGTAATGATCCCGGTGATGTCAATGAGAAGACACTTGAGCCAGTGGTGGGAAGACAAACAGGTGAGACATTTACCCCATCCCCACTGACTAAATACTTTTCTCAGAAACATCTAAAAAATATATTATGTATGTATTAGAAATCTGTAACTAAAGATAACTGAGTATGACAATTTCTATAGCACAGTTTTGGAATATTGCCTGAGTAATCCAGGGTGGAGTGGAATCAAAATCATGGCCTGTTTTTAGCAGATTTTTATCAGATGAAGACATTTGATTTAAAGTCTATAGATACAGTGCAAAATGGTATGATGGCATCAGCAATTATTTTAATGCTGGCAGATGGACCACAGTGTGGTTACAAATATGAGCGCTAGAACAGATGGCCCGAGGTTCATGTCCATGTGGCCTCATTTACGATCTCTATGCTCATGGACAAGTTGATCTCCGAAACTCTCAGTTTTCTCATCTGTAACTTGTAGCAAAACTTTACATTCCCTATGAGACTGTTGTGATACATACAGTAGATAATGTGTACAAAGTGATTAGCACTGTGTCTTGAATGTAGTAATTGCTCCAAAAAATATTAATTATTACCACCACCATCCTATTGGCATAATTGTTATTATTTCATACATGTGCTCAAAAATACAGTAGAAAGGTAAACATAGAAATATTCTGATGAGTGGTAAAACAGGTAAAAAATTAGCATAAGTATTTCCTTTTTCATGAGTTTGCTTAGAGACCACCTGCTAATGAATGTGAAAATTAAAAAATGAATTAAAAGATTTATGTAGAATTGAGGTTATTTTTAGGTTCTCTGACAGAAACAATGAGAACATTAAGTTTTTTTTATCTTGGAGAACTCAATTAAGTCAAAATGCTTTGAAATATTTTATTTTAAAAAATGCTAATTTGGAGATCTTAAAAAAGAACAAGATCTAAAAGATATCAGATGGCAGGCCAGAAGAAAAATGGGCATAGTTTACAGAAAAATATTTTATATCCCGTCCCTCATTTTCATTTATTTTTGGATAAGTTTCCATGGAGTTCTAGCCTTGTGGGATAATTGGACTATGCTGCTGTAGAAGAAGCAAGGAAATATTCTAGAAAAGTAAACCTGACATAACTGTCCCTACTGGAACATTTCAAGCGAGGCAGGGTTTTTCACGTTGGTATTCAGAGATTGTCTGAATAATCACCAGGGGCGCTTGTTAAAATACAGATTACTAAACTCTAAAGAGGCCACACTAATTCAGAATTGTATCTCAATAATGTGCACATTGAATAGTCTCCTTATATTGTTTAAAAGCCATTGTGGGAAATACTGGGTGAATAAATGCCTCTTTTGGATATTTTAGAGGAAGGTACTTCTCTTGCTGGTATTATTTTTAGATGAAAGATAGTTATGGCCAAGTTGTTCTATCATTGTTATTCATATTTGGCTTTTACCACACTGGTGAATATGGTCCTCATATCTGATAACACCCAAGCAATAGAAATGAGTCATCTCAGCTTTAAATGCAATAAGCTACTGGCACATGCAAGAGTGCTTTTCTTGTGCAGGGTCCGTGTGGTTATTTCCTTGTTGATGTGTGTGTTCAGTTACAGACCCAGGACATTTCTACATAACTGAAACCTATTGAACTCGATTTCTAGAATGCCTAAAGTCAGCACTGAGTGTATCTGTGTGGTAATCTCAGATAACAGGCAGAGGAAGACAGGGCAAACACTGACACTCTCTATGCACAAATTTTTTAATGCATTATTAAATGACACATTAAAACTAGCTTTCAAAGGGAACGTTTTTTTGGTGCTCCCTGTAGGCTGCATCTCTCTTGCAATAGACCTATACGTGCAAATCAGAAAATGCATTCTGTGAAATCCATGAGTAACATTTTCAAATGTGGCATTGGAAGAATCCCTGAAAGAAAAGAAAGAGGGACTAGATTTCAGGAAGATAAAAATAAAAAGTACCCATTAAAAATGGCCTATTAAAATTTAAATTTCTAAAATATGATTTCACACAATTTTGTGTGGGCATAAATTTAATAGATCACCACTGAGATGTAGCTGGGGTTTCTGCCAATACTCTAATTTCTTTGCAATGGAAATCAGAAGTCATAAAAGCAGAGGAGAAATGGGGTGTGTGTGCGTGTGTATGTGTGTGTGTGTGTGTGTGTGTGTAAAACAGTCAAATGTTATAAACTCTCCTTTGAGGTAATTTAAGTCTACTTGAAATTCTTAATATGATAATGAAAAACCAAACAGAAAGAGATATTGAAAATGAAAAAGAATTGCTAGGAAATGAGATAAACGTATGCCTTTCAGTGTTTTTGAGCCCTGCTATTAGAAATAAATACCCAGAATATTTTAAAAAAAACAACCCTACACACACACACACACACACACACACACACACACACACACACNATTTACCTTCAAACTAAAAAATAGGGCAAAAGTTTCAGGGTATTGGAGACAGCTTTCTCTTATTCAAGTCTTGTGTTTTGCCTTACCCTGACTAAATGCTGTAAGTTTTTTTGCCTAATATTCCTTGATTTCTCTGCTTCTTACCATTGCTTTCTGGCCTCTGGACCAGCACTTGGGTAACATCCAATAAGCACTTTATACGTAAGGAAGCTTAAACGTTACTGGAAATCATGAAGTTGCTCCTTGTCATGGAGCAGTGGGGACACTTGTGACTGGGCCTCCATTGCCTTCACTGTCCCCCCCACCCTTGCTTATTCAGGAATTTGTCCTCTGGGCCCCAGAACTGGATTTGTAGTTTGCCTGATCCATCCAAAGTCATGTGGCCAACAATTTGATTGTGAGGATCTTTGTTTAATATGTAGCAATATAGAAATCAGTGACCAATGATTGCCATTTTCTGGTTTCCAGTCCCCAGTCTTTTGGCACTTGAGGTTACTGTATGTTTTGAATAGGTTCAGTTGTGAAGCTCTCAGAGTGTGAATGGACTTATTTTTTAAGCCACCATGGCTTTCTGGTAGCGCCTCTCAAGTTTCTAAGATGGGGCATCTTATCAATCCAATGCGTTGCCTACTTTTATCCCAGGGACTGTCTGGGCCTTCTGATGCTCTCTGTGCACAGCTTCCCGGGGGATTCCAGCTGCAGGCCAAAATCAGATGTCCTTTCCAAATTCCATTATAGATTCACTGCTCCTTGGCAATCAACCCTCAAATCTCTTCCATTACCTTAGAGTTTTGATGGTCTGGCTGATGTTTCTTCCTCAATGTTCAAATGAGGATCTCTTTTTTTCCAAATGTCTGCCCTTGCTTGAATTTTACACAGCCCCATTCGCTGCCAATCACCCCAGCACCCCTAGACTTTGAACCATTAAGCTAACCCACTCAATTCTTGCTGCAGGTGCTGAGGGGTTAGCCTGAGTCTTCTCTTTTGTAAGAGATCTCCAGGATCTAAGGTTATCTTCAAGCACCACAGCAAAGTGTTTCTAAGTCCACACCCACCTCCAACATCTCCCCCTCCCTGAGGGTCACCCTTAAATCACATCTGCTTGATTGGAACTGATGGGATGCCGGTGAGACCCAACCACAAGGATTATCTAGGATGCCGTCGATGTGCGAGAATGTGAGAGAATTCCTAGGGAGACAGATCACTTCTTAACACAAGAGAAAATCACTCTTTACAGGTTTTAGTGGTGAGGCTAGACAATGATTCCTTCTTAGCAACATGTTAACGTTCTCTCAGACACATGGAGCACCCGGGGCTTCCTAACCACTGCTACCACCATCTGAGCGGCTTTGTATTTAGGAAGTCCTTCCTTACTTTGAAAAGTTCTCTCTTCCTTCTTATTCATTCACCCTCACAGCCGCTTGTGGGCTCTAGCATAGATCAAAGTGCAGCCATTCTTTAAACAGAATTACATCTAAAACCAGCACATCAGGCGGAAATTGTGTGGAGTCAAAAACTGCCCTTCAAAAGTCTCTTTAAGTTAATGAAATCTAGCACAGGTGATTGTGTGTTATTTCACCATCTTCACGAGGCCAACCAGATCAGTTTTTCCCGAATGCCTTGAAAATGATCACCATTTCTTTGGCTGAATACCAGACAAAGCAGTTTATACTCATTTGAGATCTTAGAGGTAAGCTATTATTTTTGTGGTTCTTGTTGTTCGTTGATTATATACAGTTGAATTTGCACAAGTCAAAATTTTATGATATAATGCCACTGAAGTCCTTCCATTTAAAGACAAGAAATATAGGCCAAGTGAGATTAAGTAATTTGCCTGAAGTCACAGCCAGATACTGAGAGAAATGAATTTATAACTCAGGTCTCCCCAGCCTAAATCAGGTTCTTTTCCTATTAGATGGAAGTTAGTTAATTATTTCCACCTATGGAAACTGATTGATTGCTAGTGTTTGCTTGGTTTCCTGTGTCAAGTGGGATTCTGAATCTTAGTTCACATTCGGCAAGAAAGGTCACGATAATCACCGTTCTGCCATGGGCAAGCATGAACAGAAGCCACATGCTTGTCTAATACGAAGAATCAGGAATATTTTCTTTCCTTTCTCAGCTTTTCTGCACAATCACATGAAGATTTTAAATCCAAGAATAAATCATGACTTTCCCAAATGGTCTCAGTTAAATGAAGAGGTTTAAAAAAATAAGAAGAAACAGTAACAGAAAAGATAATTGACTGACTAATTTTTTAGTGTATTTTTACGAGGGACAAATTCTTACAGTATTCATTAACTAATGGATTTATGGCAGTGTGTGATTGCTGTCTCTACAGAACAGGTTAAAAAGTGCATGGTCATAATATAGCCCCTTGTCTCTCAGAGAGCTAGAAGATGGCCCTAACATACGGGCCTTCACTGAGCAGGATCAAGGGTCTTACTGATTCATGGATGTGTTCGCTCAAGTGTCCAGAAGCTGCTCCACTAACGAGCTGCTGTAGAGGATGAGGGGAAGAGAGGGAAGAAAAGGCTGCCCCTGAATGTGGGCAACAGCCCTTCAGCCACAGAGTGGAATTAGGTTCATGGCTCCTGGGGGCCTTATCTAGACAAAATCTTTCACCCAGC